GAAGAAAGGTATTTAGAGGTGGGCTCAAGGGTCTGAAAAGAGGAAAGAAGGAATTTGCTAGTCACCATGAAAAATAAAACGATATATACAGATTATCAGATTCAGCATGTGACCCTTATATTTTCTCTTCATTATGATTGCAAACCATCTTTGCAGTAATCAGAGTACTTAATTAGGTAGAGAAGTACTGTATTTACTGAAATCCAAGCCGACAAATTTAAAATGGCACCCCCAGTAACTAGATTCTACATATGGAAAATTTATAATTTTGTTATAATTTTCCATGTCTAGAATCTAATTAGTGGAAGAGCATCTTAAATTTACTTTCCCCACTAATATGGTGGGGAAAGCAGTGGCAGAGGGTGAGGGGCCAGACCTCCACCACTGGCTCCCCTGTGCCTTTGCCTGTGCCCCTGCAGCCTGCCCCCCCCCATCCCTTCCCCTTACTTTCTGCTGCGGCTCTGCTTTTCTTGGGCAGTCAGCAGCAGTGTGTCCCTGGCCTGGCCTCAGCTCAGCCTCCTCCCCTTCCCCCGTAGCTCCCAGCTGGCCCGGGTCAAGCCTGGAGGGACTGGAATAAGTAGACAGTGGGGCAGGCACAAGGGGCCCAGAGGTTGGCAGGGAGGGGGAGCAGGCACAGGCATAGGGGCCAGGGGCTGCAGGAGGAAGGCTGTAGGTTTCCCCACCCCACCACATAGTCTGCTCTCCCTCACTCCCCTAGCTGTGTGCCCCCTCTCCTACAAAACAAGCCATTCTGGCCCAAAGCTGAGCTACTGCCTGCCTCAAGCCAGTACTCCAAGATAAAGCTTTCTTATTCCCATGCTGATTGGGGGGAGGGGGAAGGTATCTTGGATTCAAGTAAATACGGTAGTCTTATGAAAGTACACTATGTGTGTGTGTGCATATGTGCACACATGCACATAAAATAAGAGTTTAGCTTTTGAATATAATTTAGTATGGGTGGGGAGGAATCATAAAGGAGCTAAAATTGTGCGACTAGCCCATTCTGTAAAATCTATGAGTTGTCCATAGAGCATATTCTGAGAACATCTGGAGTACAGAATCCATCTCTTGGACTTTTTTGGTTTGTTTCTTGGTATGTCAGCCAGTGACTATATTTTTAAATACTTGTAGTACTCCTGTCATTTGCTGAATCTGTAGTCAGTTGCTCTATTTCACTTTCTGGGCAAAATGGTCTTATATTTAAAGTCAGACTGTACTGTACAGTATAAATACAGATGTACTTGAGCTAGTTTTAAAACTATCCAGCTCAAGAACTGATAGCTGTCTAGGTGCAGCAACATGGTGGTCAGCATAAGCTAATTCATCCTGTTTCTTTCTAATCCTGAACATAAGTCATTGGCCTTGAACATACAATATTGTCATTTTGGACCATTTCTTTTCCTCCAGTAAAACAGAAATCAAATTAAAAAAGAAAGGGAAGGATATATATCTGTAACTACTCCTATTTTATGGCCTATATTATACCCTCTGTGCAAAAGAAAGGGAGGTTCTTGCTGGAACATACAACATGAGGCAAACAATTTATGGGCAAAAGCAGCTTAAGTAACATGGTTGCAGTATGCCAAAATCAACACAGGGGTTCCTTGGGACTTTTTGGAAGAAGGCATGCCACAGCTTAGGGTAGAAAGAGCTGACCCCAGATCCCTTAGGGCAGCGGTTCCCAATCTGTGGTATGTGTACCACCAGTGGTAAACAGACAGCCTGTCAGAGTTCACAGATTTATTATAATTACTTTATATGACAAAAATTTGCTGGTGGTACTTAAGGTTGTATCATTTTAAATGGGTAGTGCACAATCTGTCAGAGATTGGGAACCGCTGCCTTAGGGTGCATGCAGACATTCCAGGAAGTTAGATCACATTGAAAATATCCACCCAATCTAAATTAGTTCACCCAGGTGTGGACCTTACACTCAGGGTGCAGACAGAAATGCAGCTCCCCACTGTAACTGAGAATGCTTTGCAGAAAACATTCTGAGTTGCAATGAAGTTCACTGTTGGTTGTAGAGGGGAGGGGAATCTAGCTGCTGTCTGGCACCTGTAGCCAGTTTCTGCTAGCAACAGCCCCTCCTCTCTCTCTGCCTACCCTGTTTCAGAATGGGAGGGGAGAAAGAGAGCAGAGGGAGCTCAGTTCTAGGGGTTCCCTAACCAACGCTGGATGGGTGAATTGGAGCCCCCCCACCTTGGGAAGGGGCTCCAATATGCCTGCCCCACCCTACAGTGGGGGCTGAAAACCCCCCACACCAACTCCCTCTGGTCCCTTACCCCCCCCCCCCCTTCCATTTTGAAAACAGCTCAAGGCTGGCAGGCAGGCAGTTAAGGCAGAAATTAAGAAAATGTTCTGTGTGTTCATCTGATTCCCCATGCAATGAGGAGGCAGGTTTTCATCCAGTTGGCCATTTTTTGAAGCTGTCTACAGCCATGCACTTGTGTTTGGTTATGGCTTTCTGTGCCCAGATCGGATGAAAATTGTCACTTCTGTCTGAGTCCTGAGATACTTAGTTAGGTTGATCAAAGTGCAAACTGTACAGAAGTTCAATGCAGTTGGATCAGTCTAAAAATTGTCGATCTGATCTAAGTTAACCCTGCCTCTGAGGTAGTTAAACTTGGACTGGGTTTGCCATTTTTAGATCCATCTAACTCTCCTGAACTTCTGTACAGTTCCCAGCATAGCCACAGGGCTAGGAAAGCCCAGCTGCTAGTCCCAGCCCTGGAAAGAGAGCCTCTCAAGCCCCTTGGTGGACCCCACTAGACCCCTTGATCATGTCAGACCCCACCAACCCCCCTCAGCTGAGCCCAATCCCTCCCATGGGCCTGCTTGCCTCTTCGATCTCCCCCATGGACCCTGCCTGCCCCCTGATTTCCCTCCCGCAATTCTCCCCTGGAGCCTGCTTCCCCCCAAGCCCCATCCCTGCTAGCCCCCTTCATCCCATGTTACCTTAGATCTGGTGGCCATATTTAACTTGATCTAATCTCCCTCTAACTTCCCCAAATTTCTGTATGCACCCTTAGAAACATGCTCTACATACAAGCCAAATGGTCAAATTCATTGTAAATTTATGCCGGTAGATTTGGCATTAACTGTTCCAACTCACTCAGTCTCATCAGAGGTCAAATGATTGTAATTCTTTTATAAGGACCAGTGTTTTCTGCTGGTTTTGGTAGTACTGAGCCATTTTGTGTTAATAGAACATCTTCCCAGACCTTTTACAACTGTTTTCTTCCTTTCCTCAGGATGCATGTTCCCTTACGATAGCCCCACTGCATTTCCCTTGGAAATTATTCTGTTTTGTGCATATGTCTTCTTTCTCAAACTGCTAAAGAGAGTTCATGCTCATTTAAAAACATATATTTGTCAGCAAAAATTGTGTCTTTGATGCAAGATCAAATCTTGGAAAATGTTTTGGTCACAAAGAGAAAGGGCCCAGGCCCTTTTTTACCACCGATCGTTCCTCCTCCACCTTCTTTCTGAAAACCCACATCTTCAGTCTCACATACAAAAAGTGTGACTTCATATTAGTTTAAAAGAATTGCCAAAATGTAAACACACTCAAAACTAAATAACCATGTGATTTTCCTGTTGTTTTCATCTAAAATTAGGTTTTGAGTTCTTTGGGGGAATTTCTAATCACTTCAAAAAACGATCAGTAAATTACTTATCATGTTTTTTAAGTACTGTATGCCTAATAATGTGTCAGGTCGATGGCTTCTGAGATCTTAAAAATCGTATCACTTTGTTTCCTGTTGTACTTTTGCCTAATTCTGTCGTGATCTTAGCAGCTGAAGCCTTTGAAAGCCTGGCACTGAAAACAAATGCTTTATATTATGTGGAAGTCTGGTTTCCCAGTTTTTGTTTGTGGGATTTCTTTTTCGTTTCTTTTTTAATTTTCAAATGATACAGAACATCCATCTCAAAAGATCAGTTGGATGCTAAAATCATGTCTGAGTTTAACTATGTTGAGGGTAAAGTGTCATAGGAATTACATGGGATTTGTGTTTGTGGGTTTTTTTTGCAGGAACAGTATCTCACGAACTGTAAAGAACAAAAATGATCACTAGGTAGAACTTAAAGCTATGGCTGGTCCCTCAATTTAGGAGTGTCTTGCTAGTACTGCTCCGAGAGTTACTTGCAATTTTTCTCATTTTATTTGAAGACACTATAGATTTTTTGGCTTTCTCTTGTGTTTCTAATTAAAACAAGCCTTTAAAACAAAATAACATTTATTTTTTGATGAGTGGTAGATTTTGTATATACCATGAGCAAGGAGTGGAATATTCTTAGACTGGGTTTTGCTTTCTCTTGAGAAGCAGTATGGACCAGCAGATTGAACACTGGGCTGGGAGCCAGAAACATAAGAATTCTAATTCTGACTCTGGCACCGATTTGCTCTGTGGTCTTGGGTCTAGATTCTAATTAGTGGATATGTACAGTTTCAAGCCAATATGTAGTTTCTTTGGGAGTATAAGATCTGTGGTTTGTAGCTGCAAGCTAGTTGGCAGATGGTAGTTGGTTTGAGGGGGGACACATTCAGTGTTGATGTTAAAATCCTAACTATGTGTTTCCAGACTTTCTGATACTATTTTGGTTTGATTTAAATGTGTTTTCAACACAACTGCTGATACAAACCTAACTTCCTGCCTCTCACATGTGTGAGGGTTTTTTTTAACATTCCCTTTGAATTTTTTTCATTTAAAAATGTGAATAAGTATGATAGGCTCATAAAGTTGTTCTAATGTTAATAGTTAGTTGTAAATAAACACCAATATTAAGTTCTGTGTAGTATGTATAGTAATCACAGCTAAGTTTCAAGGTAGGGGTAATATCTGTATTTCAAGGATATAAAGAACTGTGTGAAAAATATACAACAATTTATTTTTATGTTGCTTATCCCCATAATGTTTCAGTCTTTTATGTGCATCACAGGTATAGATTCTCTGCATGATTGTTGATTGAAAACATCCTTTTTACGTGACCAGTGTCTTAGGAACTCATTGAACTGAGGAACTCATAGAGGAGACTAGACAGTCACCTTGCTGGGGTCACCTAACCCCAGCTGTCTTTCCTGCCTGGTGCAGAGGGCTGGATCCGATGATCTTCTGAGGTCCCTTCCAGCCTTACTATCTATGAACTTAAGGCATTAAAGGTACGGTTAAAATAACACACAGGAAGTCACAGTTCCCCGAGGCATTGGGATGGGGTGGCAAATGCAGTGGTTCATCACATCAGTGGCAGTAATCAGAGTCATTAAGGTTGCAGGGTATGAAGATAGGGAGAATGCCCCTAGTGTGCCAGGGGAGGGCTCTTGAGTACAACTACACTACAACTTTTGAGGGTGGAGTTAATTTTGTTGTGGGCATGGTTTGTTTTTATAGTTCATGAAGTTCTCCAAGTAGTTCTCTAAAGGGTCTCTAAAGGGTTTATTTGATTAATTAAGCTAAAACATTGAATCAGATGAGGTCTTTTCAGTTACGATTGGTGGTACATTTCCTGAAGCCTAGTTCCAGTGTAATGAAGTTTGTCACAGACTGGTCCAAAACATTACTTTTTTCAAGATAAACTTCAGCATTTGGTGTAAGTGCTATAAAATACAATTACAGTATATATCTTTAATAAAGGCAGAGCGGGCTCTTGGTTTCTGACTGCCACAAGTATAGATGAGTATAGGGTGCGGAGAACTCCTTGTAAGTTCTCCTCATGTCTTGTACACCTAGACAAAACCAGCCACAGTCTGATTCAGTTATTGCTAGCTGTTTGTTTCCTGTCTCTCAAATAATAAAGTAGAATAATTTTTATCCCTAGTCTCTTTCCTTGACTTATTTTATCCCTCTATAAATAATACCAGTCCTGTATTTAGATTGTGGTCTTCAAGTTAAAATATGAATACAAGATTATATATAGCCATACATTTATTTATGTTCATATTTTCTCTAGTCTGTCATTTTCCATTGTGCATTCATTGCATTTCTGTTTGATATTTGGAGGGAATATATACTCAAAAGTGTATTTAAAAATTATTGGAGATGTTGAAATGGGGATTTTGTCTACAAACATTTTTCAACATTGCTGGTGCTAGTTCAGTTGCACTGGTATTAGTGATATCAGGACCTTAGACAAACTGCTAGCCTCCTGCAGTTCTTTAAATACCACCTGGATTAGACATTACATGAGCATGGGTGGATTAATTTGTTTAGATAATATGACCCCCATTGACACAGTAATAAGTGCCTCATCATCTTAAATCAGTTTATTCTCATAACACCCCTGTGACGTAGGGAGCTGCTGTTATCCGCATCTTACAGAAGGAACTAAGAGTAGAAGTAGATGATTCCTGACAATTTTTTTTGGTGGTACAAATGGTGAGCAAATAGATCTCCCTACCCTTTGCTGCACCAGATCAGTGGCTGCAACAAAAAAGTAATGTAAAATAGTATAGTATCAAGAATTCCCAGGATGTCTATTTGTTCTGCGGCAGAAAAGCACAAGCACCCCAAAGCTGCCTGCATTCCCCAGCTGCCCCAGGCAGGTGTTCTGGGGGCTAGAGGGGTCTGATCCTGGGCACCCTGGGAATTTGTGTGCAGCACTGGGTCCCTGAAGCTCTTGGAGTACCTGCCCAGCTTTCCCCACTAACAGGGACCCAACCTGGGATCTCCATGGGCACATCTTGGTACATGGTGAAAGTCTTTGTGGGTCCCTACATGGAGGCATGGGACCCACGGAATCCCTGGTGCCCCATGCCTCCATTCTGAATCAACCTGCTTCACTCTGCTTCACGCGGAGGCGCAGGTCAGCATGAGACCTGTAGTAGCTCCCACTCCAACCTGTTTTGCAGAATTCCTAGCAACCCATGCCTCCATGTTGGGACCTGCATAGACCCGTGTCTCCGTGTGAAGTACAGGTCAGCATGGGACCCAGTGTAGGTCCCAGCGTGGAGGCATGGGGTGTTAGGAATTCACACGTCCCATGCTGCCATGCACCTCCTTGCTGGGAACCACACCCTCCCTTGCATAAAGAGGCATTGGTTGAGGCAGGTCCTGCTGTGAAGGCATGGGGCACCAGAAATTCCCTGACTCCTGCACTGCCCTGTGCTTCTGTGCCGCCTTGTGTTGGGACTTGCATTGACCTGTGGCTTTGCAGGGCCCAGTGCAGGCCCCTGGTGAGGGACATGGGGAATCCCCTGACAAGTGGTGACTTGTGTTATGCCCAATAAAGTGGATCAGCTGTGATAAGTTAAAAACAGACATCGCCAAATGAAGTAGATCAGCTGTGGCGGGATGCATCCTAAGACACAGAGCCCATGATGGACACAGGATTCAACCCAGATGTGTTGAAGCAGTGACTCTTAACTAGGGTGCATTGAGATTCTTTCAAGGGTGTGGTGAGGTGCCACACAGTGTTAGCTCTTTTAGGTGTGAAAACATGATCCACAAGCTAAGCCCAGAGATTTCAAGTAGAAATCCATAGTAAAGACATTCAGACTTGTTATGGTCTTTCAGAGTTTTTTGCAGCAGAAGGATTGGTCTATTATTTTTCTGTAGTCAAAAAACCAAATGATATTTCAGAGTTGGCATTTTTCAAGAGGTGCCTTGAGTCTGGTAAGATTAAGAATCACAGTTCTGGGGGGCAGGCTGGACCCTATTCCCTGGAGCAGCCTCATCCCCTCAGAGGATAAAGTACTTAAAATGTTGTTAGTAGTTCCTAGTTTATTTTCCCTGACACTCCCCATTCGTCTTATTGTTAAGCTACACATAATCACTGTGGTTTTTGTCATGTAAGAAACCATTTTATCCCAGGACAAAGTGCAGTTGTTCAGACATCTATGTCTGTTGTTCCAAGGCAAACCCTAAAATATTTCACAGAATAACAAATGCTAATAGTTTTGTCCTGGGACATCACCAAGTGAGTCTGAACAGTTGTCCCAGGATTGTATCACTGTATTTCATAGATTTCATAGACATTTGGGCTAGAAGGGACCCTGGAGGATCATTGAGTCCAGCCCCCTGCCCCAGGGGCAGGAAGTCAGCAGGGATCATAGGATCCCGATAAGATAAGTATCCAAATGTGTCTTGAAGGCGTTCAAAGTGGGTGCTTGAACCGCCTCCAGCGGCAGTCTATTCCAAACCTTGGGGGCTCGGACAGTAAAGAAGTTCTTCCTTATGTCCAGCCTGAATCGGTCGCAGTGGAGTTTGTGACCGTTCGATCTTGTCATCCCTTGGGGCACTCTGGTGAACAGATGTTCCCCCAGATCCTGATGAGCCCCCCTGATAAACTTGTACATGGCCACCAGATCTCCCCTGAGCCTGCCCTTTTCTAGGCTGAAGAATCCCATGGCTCTCAGCCTTTCGTCATAAGGTCTGTTTTCCTGACCTCTGATCATGCACATGGCTCTCCTCTGCACTCTCTCAAGCTTCTCCACATCCTTTTTGAATTGTGGAGCCCAAAACTGGATGCAGTACTCCAGCTGTGGCCTCACCAAGGCCGAGTACAACGGGAGAATGACATCCCGGGATTCGCTGGAGAAGCCTCTATGGATGCAAGCCAGCATTTTGCTTGCTTGTATTAATAGCAGAAAAGTGGCAGTGTATTCAGCCACTCGGTAAACCCTGATTGGAAGGGCAGTTGTGTGTACTTGCCAATCCCAAGACTTTTCTGTTTGACAACAAACACAGGCACAGCTTGTCCCAGGCAAAATGCAGCATCTGTTCCAGCCTTAGTAACAGTAGGACTATCTTGCAAAATTTTGTAGTGGAGGCAATGTTTCAGCAGCCATAAGTGATTTTAAATACATTAATTTGAAGATTCCCTGTGTGCTTCTTCCACTATTGCAACCATGGGCGACTGGTGCCACCTTAGTCAGGGGGGCACATGCCTGCCCTGTGACCAATCCCGCCAATCGTGGGGGAGTCCTTGCGGCCAATCCCACAATGGCCAATCACTGCAGCCACTTCTGGGAGTGGCTGCGGCTGCTTCTGGGAGTGGCTGCAGTGATGGCTGACACTGGCAGGGCGAGCACCGGCGGTCCCACTTGCCCCCCCACCCATCACCTAAGTGGCGAGCATGGCTGGTCGGGGGGGTGCACTGGTGCTCTCAAGGGGTGCACGTGCACCCCCTACGCATTGCCACTGATTGCAACCAGTGGAAGAACACAAGCTAACATTTTTGTTATTTAAAGAAAAGGCAGCTCATGGCAGGGTGGGCACTGCAAAAGGTCCTTTTTTGAACTTGTTTCCCTCTAGTTCAGTGGTATCCAGACTTTTTAGACAGCAGACCACTGTTAACCCTCAGAATTTTATGCAGACCAGTCTGCCCCCTTATCCTCAAAACAAATGTTATAAAGAGGCACAGTGCTCAGTGTGATCTGCAGGCTGTTTACCATGGCCTCATGGGTCATCACTGGTCTGTTGACCACAGTTTGGGAACTTTTGCTGTAGTCTGTTGTGCTCTGAACGTGATGTGCGTAGAGCACTCCTGTAGCATGAACATTTTTGGAGGGTTTGAAGCAACAGAGTGTAAATAATATCATGGTTGGACAGGGTGTGTGTGTGTGTTTAATTTTGTTTTTAATTTTGTATGGTGATGGTGGGAGGGAACTGACAGACTGGACTCCTTGAAAAAAATTCTCTTAAGGATCTCTTCCCTCTGATGTTTACACTTGGGATTTTATACAAACTACATGGAATCATATGGAGGTAATTTTTTTTTAAATATACATTTGAAGAGATGCATTTTGAAAGAGAACAGCTCAGCTTTGTCTTGCAGCAACGTATTTGTTAATTTGCACAGTATGCATCATTTTCTGTCCTTCCAAAAACTATTCCTTCCTTGTGCTTCAGTGACCCTCTTTATACTCTACCCAAAGTAACTAATGAATCAATTAACTCCAGTCAAATAAGTTGAGAAAACTTGATTACAGCTAAATTAAGAAAACCTAATGCTTACATTCAACTTTCATAGAAAATCAATAATTGTTTTAATACCTGAATTCTACTACAGGGCTGTCCAACTTCTAAGACCTCAGGGACCACATCAGTTGGGGCTACACACTGCAAGGACCGCACCAGGTGCACTGCACAGATGCTCCTCATTCTGCCACTACTGCACAGTGCGGACATGATCCCCCCTCAGCGCGCGCGCGCGCGCGCACAC